CACACACACACACACACACACACTGTTAATCAGAGGGCCAAGTGCCATCCTCCCTCCGGCCCGGGACCCTGGGCTCAGAGTGCCCGCTCCGCTGACCGTCCTCAGTGTGGAGAGGTGTGTTCCACGGATGGCGACTAGGGCGGCTAGCCCCCCGCTGACCCGCGAGGCCCTCACCTTGTCCGAATCTAGGTCTGGGTCCGCCTGGCACAGGCGGTACAGGAAAGACTTCGGGTCCCGGCACAGCGTCTGCCGGGTGGTGAGGAAGTAGGTGCCGCCGACGTTGAGTCGGACCCACTTGGACACGCCACTGGGGCGCTGTGCCAGGGCGCCGAGGCCAGCGCTGCAGCGGCGGCACAGGCCGCCCCCCAGCCCCGCCCCGAGGCCGCTCGGAGCCGGCGGCAGCAGCTCGCAGTGATTCTCCGCCATGATCAAAACGAGCCCCGCCACAGCACCCTTCGCCGGAAGCGCCCGTTCCTTAATACAGTCCCCCGAGTAGTCCCGCCCATAGGTCCGCCCTAGTAAAGTGCCTGCCCAGGTCTCATGTGCAAGGCGGAAGTTCCGGCTTGAAAAGCAGGCCCGAGAAAACAGCTTCCGGCCAGAACAAGCCTCTAGTTCTCACGGGGATCCTCGCCTCCGGCTCCGCCCACGCCCAAAGAGGATCCAGAACCGCGAATGAGTACACTCTACATGCTTTTATTACAAGACTACCGAGCATACAAGGGAAATCCATCATCCGGTAATTACATCTAAAGCACAGATACTTGAAAAAAAAAAAAAGAAAAAATTGTTTCATTAAATTATATGATTAAACCATGACCAAATAGAAAATTTATATATAATAAAGCCAGGAAAAAAGTTGTAAAATATAGTTTACAATAATTATTCACATTCAAGGCTGTACATCAATACATACATAAACGTGGCCCCAAACATGAATTCAATCCAAATAATTCATATATTAGAATTTAAATAACAGACTGAACTAGAGGCCGACAATAGCCAGCAAATAACCTTATATAAGAATAAAAATACAAAAGTGTATATCCTAGTATCATTGCATTATCTGTTTTCATAAGTATTTTTAATTTTTGCTTTGCCTGTACATCACAGTTACAGCTACAGACCAGGTAGAGAATATTACACATGTTCTAACTGACTGCCACCAACCTGAACGACAGCAATAGACTATTGATTCATCCTACTGTACGTGGCTATGGAACAGCCGCAGCAGCTCTAAATACTGTAACAGTTTAAGTTGCCAATGTCCAATCACACTACGGTTTTAATGGAGGCTCTCATCTGCACAACAACCCACTTGTAGTCATTAACCCAGATCCTTAAACTGGGGTGGACTACCTGGGGAGGGGAGATTTTGCCTTTTGTAAAAACTTCTGTACAGTTTGGACTCTTCATTTGGAAGAAATGAATTACAGGAAATTTTCAGGTGTTCACATTGGCTAATTCATTTGCTCACCACTGCAAAAGTGCTTTGACAGAAACAGCTTCCTTCTTAGGCCACTTTTTCACAGACATTCTGATTTATAACCCTGAAGTATTAGGCCAGAAGTCAATTATGTTCAGAGGCTCTGAGAGTGGTCCCAGCCCTGTTTAATCCATCAGGGCCCGTGTCCTACATTCTACCTAAGAGGTGCTACACTCATTAACTTATTTAATGTTTAACTCATTAACTTAGTTAATGTTGGGTTTTGCATAAAAACAAATGGAAAAAGTATATGGTAGCATCTTCACCATACTCAGAGTTGCTGCAGCCTCCCAAGTCTCAACTATGAGCACCCTCGGTCTATGGAGCCGTGGGGAGAAGCCTTGAGGCCATCAGAGGAGGGCAGGGAGCTGATTTCTGCACATCTAGAGCCTTAGGCTCTGGCAGAGTCAAGTAACACTGAGTATAGTGCCCAGAAAATCTCTGCTCCATGTTTCCAAATTGAGGCAACAGGCCCCATAACACAGATAAATAAAGATAAAACAATTTGGGTGGGCAGTCTGAACTTGAAGATCATAGTTACCTGCAGCACTGTAGCACACAGGGAGGTTTACATAAGCATCGGCTGGGATACCCATCCTCTGCAATGAAAAAGCCTGGCCACTGTGCTGTTCAGAACCGCTGAGACCTAAGGAGGGGTGGGGCAAGAATGGAACTGTACTTTTGATAAAACCCAATCATCTACGTGGTTTCTTTTCCAAGAAGAGCTTTGCTACTTTGCTTTGCTACTGATCCCCAAATGGCCCAAATGCACTTTGAGTCTATAAACTTAATTATGAATTACCCATCAGGCATGTGGCAAGGTCAGTTCAAAACTTTATCTCTGCTGTGTAGAAGCAGATTCAGTACCATCACGGATACAAAGTATAAGATTCTGAAAACATCACCAAGCACTTGGAAGCCATAGCAGCAAGGATGGAAGAGAATTAACATGCATGGCCAGATTCTTGCAATGAAAATGAAGAAACTGGTTTGTGGAAAAATCTGTCACAAAAAAATCTGCAGCAATGATATTTTAGCATTTAAAAAAAAAAAAAGCAGTCATAGTCAAAATTTCTTGGGAACACACAGCTTAGTAAGAACTGATGTGTTCAAACTCTGTAGGACACGAGGAAGGAGGGTTTGTAACTGGAATTCAGAGCATCTAAACATCAGACCAAGAAGGAGGAGTAGCTGTAAAATGAACAAATTCTTTGTGTCCCCCCCACCCCAAAGAATACCACTTGCAGGTATGAGGGAGGAGAAAAATCAGAGTAAAAATCAAAGACATGTAAGTATATTCACCACAGCATTAAATAGAAAAAAAAAAAAAAAAAAAAACCACACACACATACACACACACACAGAAAATTCAAAAACTATCTGAATGTTTTACAACAGGGAAACAATTGGATAACTTATAAATTTACAACCATTTGACTCCACAATTATTAAAAACGTGCTTCTGAAGAACTATTGATGGTATGGAGAAATGCTTAAGTCAAGTGGAAAAGCTGGATGCAAAATGATTACTGTTGTATGTGTTCCCAGTTTGGTTTAAAAAGCAAACAAGGACTAAAGCTGTGGCTCCGTGGTAGAGCACTTGCGTAGCACTCCTGAATCCCCCAACTCGTTTCCCAGCACTGGAACAACAAAAGCTGGGGAGAGCAGGACTTATATCAAAATGCTCACAGTGGTCTCTGAATGATGGGCCTTTTTTTTTTTTTTTTTCTTTTACTTTCAGAAAACAGACATTAAAGAAAGCACACAATTACCTATGGCCCCTTGCTGGCACTGGGAGTCGGTGCCACACAACTGGATCACAAACACTAAGGTGACCCAAGTGTTTGTGATCCAAGAGGGCTGCGGCAGGCAGAGTTTCTACCAATTTCAGCCTGATACAAGCCATCTTTCTCCAAGTGGTTTTTTACTGGATCTACCAGGTTATAGCTCAGAATGACAGCTGAGTCATGTCACAACTCCCTGGAGGGGAGAGACTCAGCTCTACACGGGGATGCTCACTGCCCAGCTGGAGCCTAGAGAAACAAGTGGAAATGACCCATTCAGCTAAGTTTCACTGTGACACCAAGAGATGGCAAGGTTCAGTGGGCTCAACCCACCGTACCTAGGTAGAAGCCAGAGAATAGTCAACTTTCTACCCATCCTTGCCATTCTTAGGACATACGACTTCTGGAGCTAATAGAGCATTTCTTTCTCTCCTTACATATATCCTGAATTTACTGTTCTACACACACACACACACACACACACACACACACACACACACACACACAC